CTTCCTTCGGACTGACGTTTCCTTTACAACAGACAGGCATTTCATGGCTAATATGTTCAACAAGTTTTTCCACTCCGTCTTCAACCCTCGGGACACAGATCCCCCTCCCACGCCGACTAATATACCCACATTTTCATCTTCTCAACTGTCCGACATTGAACTGACAGAGTTTCAAGTTGCTGAAGTACTTCTCCACTTAGACCCAACAAAGGTGTGCGGACCTGATGACATTCCAAGCATTGATCGAACTTGCTTATCAGATTGCCCCTTCATTGAGCAAGCTGTTCAACATGTCTCTTTCGCTAGGCTTAGTACCCAGTCAATGGAAGCGCGCCAATATCACCCCCGTCTTTAAAAAAGAAGATCCAACACTGTCATCCAACTACCGACCAATTTCTCTTCTCTGCGTGCTGCCCAATGTCCTGGAACGTTGTGTTCATTTTCATTCCTATCACCATCTAGCACCTCTCATCTATGAGATGCAACACGGTTTCGTTAGGGGCAAATCTACAACAACACAACTGTTGGAGGTATATCATGACATCTTGGAATCTGTGGCTAGTGGCAAGGAAGTTGATGCCATTTACCTAGATTTATCGAAAGCATTTGATAAAGTACCTCACAGTCTGCTCTTGCATAAACTCGAGAATTATGGGATTGGAGGTTCTCTCCTCTCATGGTTCCAAAGTTATTTAACAAATAGACAACAACGAGTCGTTCTTCATGGCGTCTGTTCCGACTGGCTTCCGGTTACGTCTGGTGTGCCACAAGGCTCTATACTTAGTCCGTTACTATTTCTGGTGTTTTGCAATGACGCTCCAGATTACATTCAGGCTAATTCAACGCCCGCACTCTGCCGACGATTCCAAACTATACAGAACTCTTGAACGTCCAACCTCTAGCAGCTTACTTCAAGTCGACCTTAACAACGTTCAGAGATGGAGTATTGACATGAAAATGGAGTTCAACCCCAACAAATGCAAGGCCAAGCACATCTCGAGGAAGAAGAAATTGGAAAACAAAACGCTGTACAATCTCAATGGTCATCCGATCGAGAAAGTTATGCACATCAGGGATCACGGTGTCACCGTATCCAGTGATCTATCGTGGTCTAGGCATATCGAGGTCACTGCATCGAAAGCAAATAAGACCCTTGGCCTCATTAAAAGGATATGTAGGAACATGCGTGACTACGCTACAAGAAGACTCCTGTATTGCATCCTGGTTAGGCCCCAGCTGGAATATGCCAGTAATGTCTGGTCGCCTTATACCATCAAACACAAATCATTGATTGAAAATATTCAGCGGCGAGCGACGAGGTTTATACTGAACTACCCGAACGAAATGTCCTATACAGAGAGGCTAATTAAAACAAACCTCCTGCCATTAGAATTCCGCCGAGAGATCTCCGACCTGTTGCTAGTTTTCAAATCAAAAACCGGACTAATATCTATGGATGTCAATAACTATTTATGCACCTTCGAACCAGGCTATAAATCACGACGCAATTACGACGAAAACAATTTCAACTTCCTGATTAATCACAAACAGGACTACTTTAGGAACTCTTTTTTTATAAGATCAGCCAACCTGTGGAACAGTCTTTCATCAGAACTGAAATCTCTAGTAATTAACTATAGTATATCTATATTTAGAGCCAGGCTACGCGACTTCTATAATGCTAAATTACCATCATATAGTCCTCCTGGCTGCATCTAAGTAAATTTAATGTTATATAATATAGTTGTTTGTTTAATCATATACTAGTATTGATAGTGGTAAAGTGTCAATTGGGAGCAAGTCCTGTTCTTTGCTCCAGTCACGTCTATGTTTAGTGTGTTATCTTGTTAGAATGTTGTGTCAGTGTTGCTTGTTTGCTAGTATACATTTTTTGTATATATCTATATTTAGGTGACAAAATTATTAAATTAAATTAAATAAACACATAGATCTGAAAAGGTTTTGCAATCTCTTGTTACTTGTTGATTTTGAGTAAGATAAAAGCGATACCAAAATCTCGCGATACCATGGAGTGATATACTACTCCCTTAACTTCTTCTTTGAACATCAAGCTCAATTGCTCCATCATAGTTATTTAAATTATAAGTTAATCATAAGCAATGATCCAAGCATGACCAAAACGAATCGAATCTAATCTAATCTACTGCATATGATCAACAAAATCCAGAAAGAGTGTTACTCATTCTGAAAAAAACACAAAAACAAATCCCGAATAAAATTCTCGAACATCATTCAAATATACGAGTTTTCACAGACTGTTTACATGCATTTGATACACTAGATATACAGTAGGTAGTACTGCATATGCCCTTCAATTGATCAAAGTTTGTCCAAACAAAGCCTTACCTGCCAAAAGCGCCGTATGTATTAACGATACGAAGAGAATCAAACGATGTGTTCATAATTTGCCGAGATGAAAATAGATTCTGTACAACAGGTATACTGAGATATGCCAACAGTAGACCAAGGAATACTTCCATTATCCAACGTATTCGAAGACCTAAGTAATAATTTATTTTACTTGTCAAATCCACGACAGTTTAAAAGTGAATGACAGCTTAACTTGAAGTGTCTGCATAAACAGACAGCTCATCCACTGTATTTCAAGAACCTTGAGTGGCTCAATAGAGGCTTGATTGAGTAGAGGGTCTACATTATTTCTCCGAATACGGTAAGGACAATCTTCTCAGTAGGATG